ATTAAGAAGAATAATCGTGAAAAACAGGCGTGCTCTGTGGAGTGACGCTGTTGGAAGGAGAATCTCGAGGTCCACAACTCATAGAGAGGCCCACAAACTGGGATTTAGCACTTGCAAGGTAAGTTTTCCTATAAAAAAAAGTGAAGTAAAATCCCTAAAGTGGCACAACTTGTTTATAGGCTAAAGAAAAGCCACTATTAACTCCACTGCAAAAGAAAAATCGGCTTAGGTGGGCTAAAGAACATGGACAATGGACACCTCAACAATGGTGTGCAATACAATGGAGTGAAGAGGCCCGAAGTTTGTGTTGGTGACAGTCGCAGTAGAGTTATTCGCAAAAAAATGAAGCATTCCATATTGACTGTCTGAAGAGAAAAGAGAAATTTCCAGCATCCATTATGGTCTGGGGCAGTATGTCATCAAAAGGAATAGAAAAACTTCATTTTATTGATCGAAATGTGGATACAAACAAATATTTGGAAATTTTAGAAGAATCGCTTTTACCAGTGATGGAAGAATGTCTGACATCCGGCCAAGATTTTGTGTTTCAGCAAGATGGCGCAGCGTGCCATACCTTAAAAAAGGCTATAAAATGGATGGAAGAAAATAATGTACCACTTTTGAAATGGGTTTCTAGCAGTCCGGGTCTGTCACCTATTGAAACTTTGTGGCACGAGATGAAAAAAGTTCTTCGACAACATCCTGCTCGTACAATCACCGAAATGAGACAAAAGCTTCAAGAAATATGGGATTGTTTTACACCAAATTTTTGCCAAAACTTGGTTAACACTATGCCCCAAAGAATTTCAGCCGCAATAAAAAATAAAGGTGATGTTACCCAATGGTAATCTTTCAATTGTTGTTTTGTTAACTTCGCGCATTTATTCGCACATGTTTATTTGTTCAGATGTTTTATTAGTTATCGGTCTAAGTGATTTCAAATATGTATTTTTTACGACTAGAGTATACATAAAATGTTTTTGAGAAAATAAAGTGTTTTAGAAGTAAATAGTTTCGTCATGTTTAGTTTATAAAGGCATATTTTGGTACAAATCTTGAAGTGGGCCTACTGAAGTGGGAAGGGGCTCGTATTTCCCTACCTTATAGTAACTGTCAATCTGGCAACGTTGCCCCTTTTCATATCTTCAGACGCGGGCTCCAGCCATCGAAGCGCCGCCGCCATATGTCAGGACAATCAAGCAGACCGTTAAGTCGGGCGCTGAGCCCACACACCATTAAACATTTCTCTATCATTCTTTTAGACAAATGTACGGAGAATAGTATGTGAAATGTAGCTAATAGGTGCGGAGTTGGGAGTTGATTCGAAAAATTAAAGAAAAATGAGACATTCCCTCCCATACAACTCCCTTCCCCCTAATTTTTTGCAATTTTTTTGTTAAAAAATGACCACGATCCCATGAAACTTCAAAAAATAACGTTTAAGCGATTTTAATTTTTTTCATTTTCGGCCTTTTTTTCAGCCGCCACTGAACCGATTTTCAAAAACAAAAGTTTGTTCGTCCTTGGCGTAGCAGTATAACCCTGTGTAAAAGTGTTATTCAAATCCGAGTACTACTTTCCCAGTTATAGAGGGGCTAAGAATTACCGAACAGACAGACCGACGAAAATGAGTGACATGGTTTTGTGTGAGGTACATATCATATAACATCAAAAAAACATAATAGTTGCGTAGAAAGAAAAAATATAAAGGTCCGACTGCAGTAACTGAAAATAATGCATTTTTAGTTGTGCTGTCGAAACGAATTTAAGGCCATCTCAAATATGAATATCGAAACCGCTTGTGCTGTAGCTCGTGAAATAGAAATTTCAAGGTTGAAGTGTAGAATCCACCATTTTGCTTTTACAAAATTTTGGTGTACCCGCCAGCAATTTAGAGATACTCCATTTTTAAGAATCTATCAAGCCGTTTCAGAAGTAATCCGTAAAAAGGAATTTCAAGGTCAAATCTTTTATCAAAATCCTTCCATTTGCTTTTATCAAATTTTTATACAGCCAGTGTCACACGCGCTGCTAAGATGAATCCAAAGACATCGCATATGTCAAAATCCAGTCAGCCGTTTGGCCTATAGTCGGTAAAATAGAATTTTTTGGGTAAACATGAATAAATGAGTTATGATAGAACTATGAATGTATGCTTACATAGGAATAGCTAAGCATACCCTAAAGCCTTAATAGCATCAAAAACTTCCAAACTCCACTATTTCAGTTTGAAGTAGTTTCTTGATGATGCGACAATGGGGGGGGGGGCATTAAGCGTAGACGTAGCCTATTCTATTCGACTCTGGGCTGAGAGCAACAGTAGAACAGGAGACGAAACAGCACTCTATTAAGTACATAAACAATAACTTTGCCACCGCTGCTATGCCAGGATCGTTGAGTTGTGTGTGGGAAGCCTGGGAACGCTGGAAAATGGGAAGAGAACTTAATTGGAGAACTTAAACAGCATAATAACCGATGGTAACCGATACGCCAACAATCAGGCACGGCGATGGCATCAGCTGGGTCTGGAATTATTTAGTCTTCGTCACCAATTATTAGAGGTTATGCAATATTTGGAATGACAGACATTGATAAACTAAGTCAGACAGCTAAGGTCCCAGAGATATATACGTATATATATATACGATAGTTTGACTTGTGATAACGTAAGTGATCTAGAAGACTGAATAGCATAGTTTCTTTTATTTATATCGATAAAATAAGGAAGGATTTATCATATATCAGGAGCAGATAATAATAATGTAGCTTTGTACTGTTTAGCATGTCACTGATCGGTAACCAGTGCAACTTGAATTTAAATCCAATAATTACATTGTAGTGTGTGTCAGTCACTTACAAAAGCAGCTATCACTTTTTTCTATTCCAAATAGTACCTGTGGTGCCTTTCTGAAATGAATATTCAATGAGCAATCTTTTTGATGACATGTTCGAGGTATGTCATATTTTTTTCACTTTACTGTATTTATTTATTTGATTTTATTTTTATCCAGAGATACATTTGTGTACCCATTGCAAAGGAGACAACTTCTTGTTCCTCTTTTATATATAAGCACATCTTATATGATAAGCTCTAAATAAAAAAGTTATGTCTAGTCTCCATTCATTACGAATGTTCCATCCACTACCGTAATTTTATATTGCAATGCTGGAAGTTCTGATAACTAAGTTTTCAATGTTCTTTGAGATAACAGTTTGTATTTGACCTCATAATTTGTAAAAACTGCTCACGTACTAATGCAGAACGTTGTATAATGATTATATAATAAAAAGTAAATTTTCCAATATTGTAATTAACTATGATCTGCTTTTTTCAATAAGTTTATTTCAAACCTGCGAAATATTGTATTGCTTAATGGATAGCCTTCCCAGTACCATATACACTGTATGACACAATACTATATTACGAGTAAATGTTGATGAAAAGTTCGACTGAAACTGCTAAGAAAATGGAATGGCTCCCTAAAAAAGTTGACATTTGTCACAATATTATTAGATGCATGTATCGATATGTAAAGAAAAGGTATAAATATATAGTAGATATATATTATTTGGATATACAAACTTATACTTTCAAATAAGGACATTTCTAAAATAGATTAAAATACATTGTGTAAACGAAATCCACTCATTTGACTGATTTCATCCAGCATCGGCAGCATCGTTAATACTTAGAATGAGACCACTTTTTCACAGTATCAGCACCCAGTGTGGTGTTTGGATGTTAGTAACGTAAGCAATATTTACTTATTAGCTATTTTCGTTTTTTTTGCAAATTCTGTGAATTCTAATATTAGTACTTGTCTATGCTCAACAGGAAAAAGCAAATTCAGAGTTTCTTCAAATGTTATGTCAGAAAGAATTCAGTGATACAAGGGAATTCCCGCGCACGCTATTCACTTTATATAAACATGTGTCGTAATGGTTTAAATTTTTAGCTACAGGATGTTGGATTTTTGAGAAAGATATCGTTTTAATTTTCGAAAATGCTTTATAGATTATTATTATTTTTGACATGCTATGGGAGGACATACAATGACATGTTTCAATCTAAGAAGTTATTCTATCAGTAGCGTCGCTGCGAAGATTCATTGTGATATTTTTCCAAACAAAAAATGGTACGCCACGTTTTTATCGGAGTGAATACTTTTTCTTGTTAGCTTCATCATTTCTACATAAAACCCCTCTTACTTTTTTTTGTCCTCAAATGCAGCGTTTTCAATTATAACGACAACATGGTAACTGCTAACAATTTAATAAATAGAAACGACCTCCGATCAATCCGATCCACAGCTTTGCTGATGACAGCACTCTACATGCAGGAATTCAGAGTTCCAAGCCGATCTTTGCCGGTGAACTGGAGAGAAGAAGCCTAACAGCGACGTTATCTCTAACGAGCGATCTGGAGCTTATCACTGTTTGGAAACGTAACAATCTGGTACAGTTCCAAAACGCAGGACTGTACCTTGACTAACAAGAACCGCCCTAGCGCTTATCCGGTTTCGATGAATGGCCGAGTTGTACCAAAGAGCCGTTCATTTTAGCTGGTGACAGTCCAGATCACCGAGGACTTAATGTAGCACGAACACAGCTTCCTTACTCTGTACCAGGACCACATAAGATCTAGCCTCGAGTACTGCGCACATGCTTAGAGTACTGCCTTGCCGATAACATTATCCATGCTGTTCAGAGGAAGGCTGTCCGGCTGATCGATTACTCTTCAGTACCAGACCGCTTCGGCACACTTTCTCACCGACTTGGCTCTCTTGTACTTCTATGTAAATTGCCTTGATTTGACTAGATCATGTATCAAACCATCTCGTAAATAGCAGTCGTGTTATATCATTATCTAGATTTTTCCTTTGCTTCTGTGTAAAAAATACTGTAATATGATTTATCGCGGAATTCTGGTGCACATAAAACCAATATTATTGGCTCCATTTACTTGTCGTAAAACACCCACGCAAATCGTAAACTGTCCTCTTTATTACCGGTTTTTTCTTAGCATGGCAATTCGCAAAAATACCTGAGTACATTGTATAAAACGATCCATCATGTTTCCGCGAAATCGCGGTTTACAAAAGCCTCACGAAATTTTAATTAATAAAGTCGCTCCCGCAAATACATCGCACATTGGTTTATTTTAAATTCTATAAATGTGCGCTTCCAAAATAACCGCTGTGTGAATGTTCCGTTTCATGACAGCGGAAAATCGTGTTTTTTTGGGAAAATTCACTTCGACGCGGTTACTCGGTTGTGGCGTGGTGTTTTTTAATTAGGGCACGATAAACAAACGATGTCAGAAAATGTATACGATGCTTGAGGTGATCAATGTAGTGAGTGTGAGACAGGAATTTTAAGGCGGGGTGGCGTACCAAGAATTTAAGTCACAAGCGTAAGTTTTTTACAACAATCTACAACGCTGTTGGTTCTTACTAACGTGCTTTATATCATAATAGGACTAAGTTCGGAGCTCCGTAGTAGTAGTGTAAAGTATACGGCTTTCGTTTCGCATTAATGAGAAGGAGATTGGTTTCGGAGAAAAAGAATGCAATATTTGTCAACACACATTCTTTATCTAACACTTTAATGCAACAATGCATTAATTTCAATGCTTCGTTTTTTACCTCCTACGAGACTGTGCGAGGTAGTATTGTAATTGCAAAACATTTTGGAAATGAGATATTATGTCTGTATATCTGCCGGCCTGTTGGTCTATCTGGTAATCCTTGGACCTTCTATAACTTGGAAAGTACTTATTGGATTTGGATGAAATTATTACACAAGGTTACTACAATACCAGGGACGACAAATTTTTGTAGTATTTGAAAGTCGTCCAGTCGCGGTGGAGAAAAAGGCCAAAGTCGAGAAAAATAGTAATCGCTCATACGTCATTTTTTGATTCTTCAGAGGATCCAAATGATTTTATAAAAGAATCTTAGAGATAAAAGATTATTGGGTTAGTGCTTATAGGGGGGTGGGGGATGGTTATATCTAATTTATTTGATGTTATTCTACTTATAAGCTCCTAAGATCGGTAATTCTGAGCACCTATTAGCCATATTTCTCACATCATTTTTCCCCGTACATTTGTCCTTAAAACTTAAAGAAATATTTCCGATAGGCGTTTTCATTATTCATACTTCTTGAACGTCCTGTAAATTTTCGCGGATATCACCACGCCTATAACCTTTATCAAGTTTCAGTTAGTAAGTGTACGCATTTTTATGTCTCTCCGCATTGTGCATATTTATATATAGATTTTTTAACTGCTGCGAATTTCTATTTACTGACAGTGATAAATTCGAACAAGGGATTTTTTTTCATGTTTTCTTCGTGCTCAACAAAGTTGAGTAGGTACGTGAGATTTCCAAGGATCAATGGAGGTATAATAAAGATATAATAAAGCGGAAAACATATAAAGGTAAATTGAAAAAAATATATGACCAAGGTAAATATATTGAAAAAATGGCGTCAAGTAAGTTGACTCTGTACTTTTCACGCTACGCTGTCATCAGTTCATAAAGGATTATGTTTGGCACAAGTTTTCCCTTCTGAGAAGAAAGTAAGCTACGAAAATGTAGAACACAAAATTAAACAGCTTTTCTCTTCCCCCTGAGAGGAATTGCTGCAGGCGCACATGCTCCTTGCGATGACCAATCCCGCGTAAATGACGATTGCCCTCAGCAGTGCGGATGCGATTGCCGACTATGACGCGCGACACCCGACTTTAGGAGTTTTAAGGATAAATGTTCGAGAACATCTACGATGAGTTAAAAATGCCAAATATGTGCGTAGAATTACTGGAGTTGGAGGTGTATCAATATACCAACGTCAAAAAGTTTAGATATATTAATAATAATGATGTGTCTTTATTTTTGGATTAAAAACAAACAAACAAAAGAAGCTCATTTGATGAGGGAGGCGGCATTCAACATAGTTGCTCTTCCATGCAACCCCCAACACTCCCCACCCCCTGCAATCCCTACCCAATTTTCAACTACTACAAAAAAGCGATTTTTGTTTATTCGATTTAAAAAACTACAAAGCTGTTGCGTCCTTGGCATAGTAGTAACATTGTGTAAAAATTTTATTGAAATTCGAGCGATACTTCTTAAGTTATAGGCGGTTAACGGACAGACCGAGAGACAGACGGAAATGAGTGACATGATTTTTCGTGACATAATAACATCCAAAAAACATGATATTGCATTGCAATTTTCGCGATTACAATTTCTCAGAATACGCACTAAGATAATTACCATAGTTGATAAACGTTGAAGAATGCAGTTTTGATGAAACATTTGAAACATCCTGCGTTTCTTATGTCGATAGAACTCATTCATACATGATACAAAAATGTATTTTTTGTTGTTGATTTCATCTATTTCAGGCATGAGATCGAGAGGTCGACCACTGCGAGAGTGTATATCAGACAACTGTGGATAGAGGTATGCACGCTGTCCATGGTTGGAATCTACTATATCACCAGAATCGTTAGTCACAATACTGGCTGGGCTATCAAACGTGAATTGAGATGTTTACAGTTCCAGCCGGTAGCTGCCATTCACTTTCGCAGTGACCGATTCCGGTAATAGATGGCGCTCTGCGTTGTCTTATTTCGATATATCTCATACCATGTATAAAAGATAGTTGCTATGCTTTCACTTGTGGTCCAATAGGCGAAGCCTGGAATATGCTGATAAATTGTCAAAAAGCACGAGACAGCTGTCCATGGACGAACGCAGCATGTTTAGTTGTTCAATGAACAGTAGACCACACATACTATACCGCCAGGATATTCAGCCTCTAGCGGTTACAGTAGTGACTGGTCTATTAAACGCGAACTGAGATGCCTACAGTTCCAGCTGATAGCTGCTATACACCCTCACAGTTGTCAATTGTGGTAACATAATGGAGTTTTGCCTTATCAATACTATTACTTGTCGATACTAAAAATTTTACTTGTGTAAGCAATTTCTTTTTAACACCGGTGAACAACGACAACTACTACTGCTTTCAGTTGATGAGAGAAACATGGAGTTACTGAGGTTACAGTCACTATCTTAAAGAGTAGTTTCAACATAATTATGTGTTTCTTCTGGTCACAGAAACATAGTGTTCTATGGAGTTTTGAGCTCTTGGAGGTGCTTGACCCTACCCAACTTCTTTCTTGTTACTCTGAAATCATTGATTAACGTTTCTACCTGAAGATAGCCAACCTGATACCAGACTAACGCGTCCCAAAGTTATCCGAGATACAATAAGATACCGTAGCACCATCTATGAGAATTTATCACAAACAACTACCTTTTTCCTCCCAGGAATAATTAGGAATTTACTTTGGAAATGCTACTGTCTCATAGTTGGCGGTGAGGCCAACTAAATAGCCATTTACGAAATACTAACTTTTTATTGCGAAGACTAGAAGTATAGGAGCGAGAGACTCTAATGATGACGCGGTGTCTCATTTCATTTCGGACAATCTTTCGGACGTGTGAATATAGTATTACGTTGGCTATCTTCTCGTAGAATACGTTAATCGATGCCAAAATGTAATCAGAATTATCTGGAAGCTTTATAATATCTCAAAATTTTTGCCAATAATACATACAGCTTTAAAAAGCACGAGACAGCTGTCCATGGACGAACGCAGCATGTTTAGTTGTTCAATGAACAGTAGACCACACATACTATACCGCCAGGATATTCAGCCTCTAGCGGTTACAGTAGTGACTGGTCTATTAAACGCGAACTGAGATGCCTACAGTTCCAGCTGATAGCTGCTATACACCCTCACAGTTGTCAATTGTGGTAACATAATGGAGTTTTGCCTTATCAATACTATTACTTGTCGATACTAAAAATTTTACTTGTGTAAGCAATTTCTTTTTAACACCGGTGAACAACGACAACTACTACTGCTTTCAGTTGATGAGAGAAACATGGAGTTACTGAGGTTACAGTCACTATCTTAAAGAGTAGTTTCAACATATGTGTTTCTTCTGGTCACAGAAACATAGTGTTCTATGGAGTTTTGAGCTCTTGGAGGTGCTTGACCCTACCCAACTTCTTTCTTGTTACTCTGAAATCATTGATTAACGTTTCTACCTGAAGATAGCCAACCTGATACCAGACTAACGCGTCCCAAAGTTATCCGAGATACAATAAGATACCGTAGCACCATCTATGAGAATTTATCACAAACAACTACCTTTTTCCTCCCAGGAATAATTAGGAATTTACTTTGGAAATGCTACTGTCTCATAGTTGGCGGTGAGGCCAACTAAATAGCCATTTACGAAATACTAACTTTTTATTGCGAAGACTAGAAGTATAGGAGCGAGAGACTCTAATGATGACGCGGTGTCTCATTTCATTTCGGACAATCTTTCGGACGTGTGAATATAGTACGTTGGCTATCTTCTCGTAGAATACGTTAATCGATGCCAAAATGTAATCAGAATTATCTGGAAGCTTTATAATATCTCAAAATTTTTGCCAATAATACATACAGCTTTACCAACCTATTTGAACCACATACTTTTGGCTAATTAAATTTGATAAACGTATGTGCATATATTTTCGAACTCGGGTCGTACTTTGTCATTCTTCCATGATAGGTGCTATGGAGTAACCGAGCTCCCAAAGAGGATGGTTTTAAAAAATGGAAAATCCGAAATCCGAAGTGACTGTGGATGTGAATGACGGTTCTAGCATCTCAAGTGAAGAAGAAACTGGTTCAGCGTTTGACTCTGATCAAAGAGCTAGAGCAAAACCTAGCAGCGAAATATGGAAACCGGAAGCTGTATGGGAGGACCTCTTGGTAAGATGCAATTTTGATATTATATATATTACCTATATATTTACATTTTTTATTTGTCAGCTTTTTCTTTTGAATCACCACGTATAGAAAAATAGATTCTTTAAGATGGCAATGACTACATACAATATCTCCTTTCTCTGGCACGAAAACATCTCGTCAATAGCGGCATCTGCTGGAAATAAGCTCAGCTATTTGTTTAGGGCTAAGAACCTCCTCACTTTATACAACGCCCAGGTAAGACTTAGCCTCCAGTACTGCTCGCATGCTTGGGGTGCTATCGCCCCGACTACATTATCCATGCTCGATTCTGTTCAAAGTAGAGCTTCTGACTGTTGGATGACTCTTTTCTAATGGACAGGCTCAGGACCCTTTCGCATCGACGGCCCATCGGCGATCTGTCTGTTTTAAATCGATATGGCAATGGGCTTTGCTCCTCAGAGCTCTTATTCAGGATTCCGCCGCCAGATGGACCTGCCAAACGGACCCGTACATCCAGAACTAGCCGGTAGGACCGCTCCCTTGTGACAATGATGTCGAGATTGTGGATCAGTCTACTTCAGGAGGCTTTTCCCAGTTTTACTCACCTTAGGCAGCTCAAATAACAGATTAACAAAGTGTCTTTAAGCTACTTATAGCAGCCGCGGTGCCCTCGTATTTGAACTTTTTCCTACGTGGCTGCTCCGATAAAAGTTTACCTGAATTCTCCTAAAGCTGCATTCTCATAATAAAAGGGACACCATAAAATGATAAAAGATTGTTGTTTCCAGACATTTTTCTATATTAAATTGCCTCAGTTGACACAAATTCAACCATTTGTGATTACAAAGCAAAATACATTGACACAGCGATGAATTGAAATGACTATAAAACACGTTCCAGAACTCAATTAGATTTGAATTTTCAACCTCTGGTCAGTTAAAAAAAAGTTTATTCTAGTTTCAAATGTCTACAGGTAATAGACCGCATCCTTGTAAATAACTTGGATTAAATAAAATTCAGTTATGCTCATCTCCCAGAACGACGTCAGCTGCTTAATGTTATACTTATTTACTTTCATATCTGATAAAAATATTCGCTAAATTCAATATTATTTATTAATGTAATTCCTGATAGATCCAATACTTATTTTACAAGGTTTGGTGACATATTTTTAGTAACGCTGCCAACATGAGCTCCGTAAGTGAAATACATTTATGTGCATTGTAAATGTCTATATTACACATGCATAATCTGGAAATGCTGACAGTTCTATATTTATATTTTGGCAATTTGTATTGGGATTTAACTTGTTAAGGCTTTACAAATATGCGTGGCTTGTGATGCATTTTTGAGAGCAACTTTATAGTTTTGAGGTGATTTGTGAGAAAGCTACGGGATAAATTTAGTTACTCTATTTTCATTACATTTCAAAAAAGATTTTTCATTTTTGTACTATTTATATATTCTACGTCTTTTAAGTCTTGCATATAGAAACATAGTAGGCCGCGCTGATCGGACGTCAGTACTGATCTTAACCTCATTCTTTAGTAAACTTAAATTCAAAGTTTCACAGAAATTTCTCACTACAGTGAATTTTTAAGTCTCACCAAGTCATTAGAAAAATGGAACTCAACCGAGAACCTTTTCGCGCCATAATTTATTACAACCTTCAGAGACAATTATCGTACCAAGAATGACTTGCTGAGTTACTGTCTGTTTTCGGCAACGAAGCGCCAGATCAGTCGACAATTTCCCGTTGGTATGGGGAATTCAAACGTGGACGCGTGAGTGTTAGCGACGATCCCAGGGTGGGTGCACCAAAAACGGCAGTCACCCAGGAAAACGTCGATGCTGTGCGCAAACTCATCATTGAAAATAGACATGTGACATATCGCGAGATTGAGGTGTCCTTGAAGATCTCTCAAGACCTGAATTCAAAAAAAGTTATATAAAGAATTAGGAGTAAGAAAATTAGTGTCTCGTTGGATACCCCACCTGTTGACTGAAGAGCAGAAAGCAGCCAGGGTTAATTGGTGTCAAAAAACGTTTGACCGTTTCAATTCCGGAAACTCAAAAGATGTGTACAGCATTGTTAGTGGTGATGAATCGTGGATTTACTGTTATCAACTGGAAAAGAAACGACAGTCTGCTGTTTGGGTGTTCCAAGGTGAAGAAAAGCCAACAAAAGTCATCCGTTCTCGAAGTGTTTCGAAAAAGATGGTCGCGACATTTGTGTCAAAAGCATGTCATATTGCTTCAATTCCTCTTACTGAGCAAAGAACTGTTACTGCGGATTGGTATACCACCATTTGTTTGCCAAAAGTCATCACCGAGCTTCGAAAAATCAACCTCGAAAGAAGAATCATCCTCCACCAAGACAATGCAAGCTCGCACACAGCCCAAAAAACAAGGCCGTATTTAACGGAAGAAAACGTGGAATTATTGGACCATCCTCCATATAGTCCCGATATAAGTCCTAACGATTTCTTTACTTTCCCGAAAATTAAAGACAGACTGCGTGGTCAAAGGTTCCAGTCACCAGAAGAAGTAGTTGACGCATTCAAAAATGCCGTTTTGGATCTGCCAGCAAACTAGTGGAATAGGTACTTCGAAAATTGGTTCGAGGGCATGCAGATGCGTATTAATCTTCGTGGAGAATACTTCGAAAAACAATAGTCATTTAAAACTACCTACCGTGTTGTTTTATTTCCATACGCAAAACTTAAAATACATGCCTCGTAATTCTGACATCCTTATACAGCATCTGTTGTTGAAATAGTTTACCGTAATAGAACTTCAGTTTAGTCGAGCTTTTATTTCAGTTTTTTTTAGTAATGACAATACATACACTGATATTTTTCAGAAATTTCAGGCAAGAGACCGAGTTCAAAAAGAACTTCGGACTTTCTGCCTAATAGTCTCTACCGAAGTTATATCTAGTACTGTCACAGCTATAGTTGTAGTCACCGTTCTTGGCGGGTCAAAGTAAGACTGCCAGTATCCCTTAATATATCTCCATCTCTCTCATACGTAAATATGCAACCTACTCCTGTCTGTGAACGTTTATTCGGTAAGCTCTAAGACATACGTTTTTTAGTTGTGTGTCTCAGTCTCGAAAACTTTGTCGTTACATCGTGTGACCTTCAATCGTATCTGTCAGATTGACAACTTACTTGACATCGGCGTGCAATTTAACTTGTCCTGTTATCAATCTTCAATATAAAATTGTACAAGGCCCGGAAGTACGATCAATGGAGAAGGCCGACAGCTCGTGCTAAATTTATTAGAGTATTTTCAGGAAGAGAATGGAAACAGCGCTTCCCTGTGACTCACTCCGTGCGTACTGGAGAGAGTATCAGATGGGCTGAAGATTAAGATCCGCCCATGGTACGGAGACTCTATCTGCTTACCTATTTCATATGGCGTTGAAGCCGTATCCGATATCTCTGTAAAATTCACATCAAAATTGTAATTTTCAGAAGTTGCCGAATGCAGAAGAAATACACGAATATATAGGCGATTACAACATTGATGGTATTTTGAAAACGAACAAAGATACTGCGTTGTTACTGTCAAGTTGGCTAGGAAAATGTGATGTCTTGAAGGTATGCTTGGATAGCGGCGCTTTTTTGGATGCTGCAGATAATGCTGGCAGGTAAAATGACTATATAGTGGACGCAGTTTAATAGTATACTTATTGACTTGGTACTTCAATGCATTCGTAAACGTTTTCAATGGATCCCGCAGAAACGGTATGGGGCATATCTTTCGGCCATTTGTTTTAAATCTTGATACGTTACATATGTCAACACAGAACAAAAGTGTTCGTAGGTTGAAAGTTTTCTCACCAGGGTCTCTAATTTGAGAAACTCGTACTTCTTTACAGCGTACTGGGGTTTGTTACTCGATGTGATTTTTTTTATTAATACCCACATTTTGAGCACATATTTGTATCGATCTATTGTTTGGCAAACGGATCTGCAACATCGGGGTATCGGTGAGGGGAAAGCAAAACATGGCTGGTTTCATTCATAAAATGCCAGCGGCGTGCGGTATTTTATAAAAGTTTGGGATTATTTCATAATTGGTTTAAATTTAGTAAACTATACGTTTATGTTTCACTTTAAATTTGGGGAGTATCTCAATAAGCCCACAATGATATGGAGCATTGTCCATAATAATAAATAAAGTCTCGGGTAAACTCAAAAATAGCTGTATCTCTACAATCTACACCATGTAAAAAAACACTTGAGTTTGTTTCTACACTTCAACAAACGGAAAAATGTCTACTCACTTCCCAAATTGCCACAATTCAAAAAATCATGATAACTGCGCGATTTAAAACCTAAATCAAGCTAGCGTATTTGTCAAAGCCGTAAATAAAATATATTTTTCAAATACAAATAGATACTTAACGTGGTTTTTTACCTTGAGAATATATATATGTATATATATATATATTATACATTCGTGATCTTATAATATGCTCATTTACTTTAAAAAGTGCCACAAGCCGAAACATGACCAGAATTAATTTTTATTTTATAATCCGCATCTTTCTGGATTCCTATTGTTGCAATTTTGGACTGTTGATGTGGATATTTCTAGAGCATCGGTGTCGCTTAAGTAGAAACAAAGAACTTTAAACACATTTCATATCCGTTTAACTTATAACCTCTGTAATAAATAATACTTACATTATACAGCATTTCAAAATTACATTTCACCTATTGAATTAGCATTGGTGTTCGTCAACTTCATCATTATCATCATCGTCACTGTCGTCATCAGTTTCGCTGTCGTCATCTTGCCCTATAGTTATTATAACTGGTTCCATTTCCTCCATAAATTGATCATTTTCCCAAAATTTATCTTCAATGTCCCTAGCATGTTGACAAAATTTCTGCCAATCATTAATGGATATTAAGGACATCGCTTCCTGAGTAACTTCTTTCAGTGCGGTTAAACTGAAGTTTCCAGTGGTATTGCGGCTTCTTATATGAAATTTAAGCTTTGCCCAAGCTAATTCTATTGGGTTTAGCTCGCATAAATAAGGAGGTGTTCTTAGAGGAGTATGTCCATGTGATCTTATGATCCGATCAACTACATAATTTTTTTGGTTGTCAGGGGGCTTATGAAGTAAGACCAGATCGAACAAGTCAAATTTTCTGGCAGTTGCCTCATGATTTATGCCTATAAAATATTTTATTGTATAGTTTGATATGTACATGCATGTTTTGAGTCATAAGTACCTTTCTTTGACAACCAGGCCATTATATCTTTTTTCGAAGATGATTTTGTCGGGGTTTTATCTTCCTGGACGGAATGATATGGAGCATTGTCAAATACTATAACCGAATTGGCAGGTATATTCGGGAGGAGTTTTTCTGTGAGCCAGCGTGTGAAATTTTCCCGATTCATCTGACCGTGGTAATCGCCTGTAGCTAATCCCGCCTTAAATATCAAACAGGCATTGTCAACAAATCCATTTTCTGAACCTGCATGCACTATAATGAGTCGACCTAAAATATACAAGACGATTATATAATATGTTACAAATCAGAGTTAAATTTAACATATATATATATAGCATTTTTGCTTACCTGTAGAACCTATACTGCTTATTACACCAGAAACAGTTTCGCTCTGCCAGCATTTTTTGAAAGTCAAGTCATTGTCCACCCAGGTTTCGTCCAAATAAACTATATTGCGCCCTTCTTCACGATATCTACGTATTTCACGGATGTATTTGTACCTCCATTGCAATATATTGGGCCTCTCCATCAAGACTTTTCTTTTATTTTGACATTTGCGCCAAAAAAAACCATTTGATTTTAATAAACTCCTGAGAGTTTCCCTAGAATAGGGGAAATTTGAGTCTTCTCGCAACTTTTGTAATAACTTCCTAGTTGTCGGGACAACTTTATATTCAAGATAAAATCTGTTTATCAAATGTCTAATAATCTGAAAATCAAAATCTTCATCTTTCTCAACAAGAGACTGACGCGGTCTTTTTTTTCCGGGACTGGATAACATTTTATTCGGGTTATTTTCTAGTCTTTCTTTATTTTCGTTATGAATTTTCCTAACAGAAGATACTCCGACTCCGGTATAAAGGGACACCCTATCAAGCTTACGTTTAAGCGGCAACTTGAGGGAATTGTTTGCCGCTTCCTCATCGCAAACCCTATAAATAATCATCAGAATGTTAGCTTAGCATTTCCTTGTTTTTTATTTATATTCAGACTCAGTCGTCAAAAACTACAATTATTGCATATTATTATTACTAACCTATAAACATTCGCAATCACTTCTCTTGTTTGGCTATGAAGCGTCTTTCCGCGATTAAATTGGTTCATTTTAAAAAAATGATACTAAAACGAATAACAATATCAAATAACAAAACACTAAACTATTCAAAAACACACAGCACTAAACATACAAACTTAATAGAACAATGAATAGTTAACAATAATAGTTGTAAAACTCATACACGGATAAAACCTACGCCACTGGACTTTTCAATAGTATGGATATTCTAAGAAAGGAGCAAAAAATTGTCTGGGACGCTACCCAATAGGGAGTCGAATTTTCTCATGGCGACAAAACATGTGAGGATATCCGCCAATCAGATTCGTTTAGGCGGTGTCCAATATACCTTTCGGGTGGTTGTTGCCAGCTCAACCGATGTAGATAAGATCTTTGGAAAAATGTTTACTTATAATACGATTCAGTAGTAAAAAATAGTTAGTAAATACAAATAGAGCTAACAACCCATTAAAATTCTCAGTATTTTGAATTAATATTTTTTGGAATTGTGAAAAATCGATTTTCAAATCATTGAAATTACTTTTATTACTATTATTGCTTTTTTGTAGTTAAATTTGGCAATATCGAATATTTTCGGTCGCATTCCTTTCGCTGTTGCAGATCCGTTTGCCAAACTATAAGTAATATTCAGTATCATCATGCAGTACCTACTTGTGGCATCAATAAGGCATTGCTGGCCACAAGGTTTTTCTTTTAGCTACTCACAAGCATATATCATTACAAAACCTTTTTAGATTAAGCTAGCTACTATTTTTATTGTCCACTGTCCTCAGCTGGGCCACAGTCTGTTGGACCGATATTTACATCTATTTCAGACCAGCATTCTACCTCGCTGCCTACGCCGGTCACTTGCACTGCCTGTCCCTTGTGCTATCCGAAGGTGGTACTTCCAGCATCAATCAAATATTGTCGGTGCCACCACAATCACAGAACTAATATTCCAATCTATTTCCGAACAGCGTTCCACCTCGCAGCTTACGCCAGCCACTCACACCGCCTGTCGCTTCTGTTTTCCGCAGGCAGTACCTACATCTACCAAACATTGTCAGTCATGTCACAATCGCTGGGCTTATAATTTGATCCATTTCAGAACACCGTTACACCTCGCTGCCTATGCCGGCCACGCCCATTGCCTGTTTCTTCTCCTGTCCGCAGGCAGTACCAGCATCAATCAATGGGACGCCGCCCGTACCGTCACTCCTCTCCACTGCGCAGCGGCAGCCAATCGCGTCGACTGCCTGCGGTTGCTGATTCGCCATGGCGCGGATGTCAACTCTGGATTGGAGGGACAGTCGCCGCTGTTGAATGCCGTTCAAAGTGGTGCAGTGCAATGTGTAGAGGAGTTGTTGAAGAGTGGAGCTGTGCCGAATACTACTGTGGTTAGTTACTTTTATGTAGAAAAATTTCGGAGTAACTCTAAGAAATGCTTCAGGATATGACTTACTAAAATGAATGCTATGGAGTCACGAAGCTGCTTCCAAAAGGTATAGGTATTGTAAGCCTCATCGTGCTCATCCAAGATATCCGCGAAACCAGGATCCTTTGTCGAACACGTTAAGGAAATACAGCGACCCTCCGAAGTTTGCACTGCTGCAAAATACCAGTGGGAAAGTTCACTTTTTGATTTAAGAAAAAAATACAAACTTAACGAAAAGAAATATTACCTACTAACAACGGGTTTTATTTCTTGAATATCATTCCGTCCAAATTTTTGCCATCGTTTCGGACACACTCTTCTAATCGCGCGCGCATATTCTGAAACACTCTCTTGCAGAATGCCGAAGTGATGTTGTTTATTGCTCGTCGAATGTTGTCTTTATGCTCCTCCAGTGTTCGTGGATTAATGGAATACACTTTTGACTTTAGATAACCCCACATAGAATAATCGCATGGCGTGAGGTCGGGTGACCTGGGAGGCCAGTGAATATCTTCAAACTTCGATATATATTTTTGAGGAAAAAGTGCTTTCACCGTGTCCATCGATTCTCTGGAAGTATGGGCAGTGACCCTACCTGTTGAAATCATGTGTTTCTGTGAAATCGACGTTCTGTACTTACAATAGGATCAAAATAGGTGTCATGTCCTTGTATCGCTCGGAATTGACTGTCAATGCATAACCGTGTTCATCTTCAAAGAAATGCGACCCAATAATACCGCTAGATGTTTCTCTTTTGGGTTCGTTGGTGCCCAATATCTGCAATTTTGCTTGTTTACTTAACCGTCTAAGTGAAAATGGGCGTCGTCTCTGAAAACAACGTTATCGAGTCTGCGCTGCGTAGGGAAAGGATTCAACATCCGATTGAATTTTATAAGGATGAATACCCATTTTTTCTTCATTATGTCATGCACAGTTGACCTAGGGCTTCCCAAAGCAGCGGAATGCTTCCGTACAGCAGAACGCCGAGGATTTGCATTGACCGAATGACTTACTTGACGCACACTTTCTTCGGTTGATACAGCAGGTATGGGGTCAGGAATGGTTTGACTAAGAGTAGAGCCTGTTTCACGAACCTCCACTTTTTCAATAGGTTCTTACTCGGGGCATCTCTTGGTCACCGAATGTTGTATCGTGTACAAAATTTCCGAAGGGCTGCTGCGTATGAATCTCCACTCTTAAAGTAAACCACGATAGCAAAAGCACCTTGCGCTTAGGTCCAACGTTCAATTGTGACTATTTATAGGTCAAGAACCCGAGGCGTCAGCAAGACGACACCGCCAGTCGCAACGACAGCAGAAACCTTTATTAAAACTATTTTCCTTTTATATTTTAATTCATTATCATTCCAACTTGTAACACGTTCATGTCTACAAAATAAATATTTTTTAAAAACTCCTTGTTGTGGCTGAGAAACATAATTGGCGCTGCGAACAGGTCAAGAACCCGAGGCGTCAGCAAGACGACACCGCCAGTCGCAACGACAGCAGAAACCTTTATTAAAACTATTTTCCTTTTATATTTTAATTCATTATCATTCCAACTTGTAACACGTTCATGTCTACAAAATAAATATTTTTTAAAAACTCCTTGTTGTGGCTGAGAAACATAATTGGCGCTGCGAACAGGATATCTGCACGGCATCCACCCAAGAAGGATCATCGGTTCGTCTTAACGATTTGGCAGATTTCTACCTGGGGTCACGAAGAAACACCGAGAAATTGGAGGACCATACTGGCGATGAAAATCAGTGCGATTCTTCTCATCCTGTAAGTCCATTTCCTTTTCATATGAGTTCTGAGTACCCTCAAGATTCATTTCAAGCTATAGTTAATTTTTCACACAAGTCGCAAAACAAATCTAGATTTCAACCCTACAGTAAACATTCAAAGAGGTCAGAAGACGATATTGTTGATAACCCATCTAATACTTTCGAACAATCTACAAAAATGGTTATATCTAACTCTGATGTTAATAACTTGTGTAATACTCTTCCTGAATTTAAAGTTGGAGATAATCTTTCTACATTTATAAGCTCTGTAGATAATTTAATCACATTTTTCAACCAACAAGGAGCTGATGCAGTACAATTGTATATTATTAATGCACATATTTTATCCAAAGTAAAAGGTGAAGCTCGAGATTTTCTGAACATTCATAATAAAAATTCGTGGCCAGATATTAAACCACTTTTATTACAAAAATACGGTGACCACCGTAATGAAGAAATTTTGTTAACTCAATTAACTACAACTGTTCAGAAACGCTCAGAGACTTACCAAGATTATCATCATCGTATAACCTTGGCACTGAATGACCTTTTACAACATGTTTTATTAAGTGAAAGTAATGCCCAGGCAGTAGAGTTCAAGGCTTCATTTTTCCGGAAACAAGCTCTAAGAACTTTCTGCACAGGCATCAACAACCCTTATTGCGACCATCTTTCTCATTTCGAATTGAATACTTTAGATGATGCTCTCCAAAAGTGTATCTCTCTTGACAATCACAGACAGCAACAACAATACATGTCTTACTTGAAATCCACGAATCACCCCCGCGATTACCAAAAACCTCAACCTCGTCCCAATCCAAACAACTTCAGTACTTCGAACAAACCCAATAATCCCAATAACCAATACCATCGTAATTTTAATCAGCCCAATTCGTCTAATCAATCTTTCAACCAAAATTCTATGCACCCTAGACCTTTTGGCGATATAAATAAGCCCATCCAACAGAGACAATCTTTTCCGACAAATCGTCAAGTCTTTGGTCCATCGTCTAGGCCTAATAATTCACAAGACCAACGAAACCAATATAAACCAACTCCCATGTCTGGTATTCATTCCCAGAGATCTTCAAATTCCAAACCTACCCCAATGTCTATGTCCTCTTACCGCACGTTCCATCATAATGTTGAATGTGAACCCGAGTCCCCGCCTAGTTTACCTTATAACGAAGCAGACTGTATACCTGAGACAGATTGCTACGAAAACTTTGATTCTCCTGAGGAAAATTTTCTAGAACCAGCCTCAATGGAACCCGCACCCAACATAGAATCATTCAGTTGAATAATTTTTCCAAAGCAACGAAACTTCCTTACTTCTACCTTCCACATTCCAAATTAAAAGTTCTCATCGACTCCGGTGGCTCTGATACAGTAATTACTCCCAGAGCTGCTCAAAATTTCGACTCGAAATATGAATTCTATGAACCTTTTACCCTCATATCGATGAAAACCCCAAAAACATATACACGCAATCTTTACTACCCTTTGTTCGAAGAAATTGGTATACAGCAAGCCCTTACAATTAGAATTGCCGACTGGCATGACGATTTCGATGTACTTTTAGGTACAGGTGAACTCGATCAACTAGGAGCCAATATTGATTACGAAACACATGTATTTTCTATTCCAAAATTACAGATCTCTATTCCATTTAAGATAATTTACCGTAGTAATAAACGACTACGTATTCCGGTCTCCATTAATAATGGCGAAGTTGTCATTTCTGATATTATACATGAAAATCAAGTAATAGTTCCAGCATCAATTCATGTAGCTGAAGACGGATTCATAGAAATTCCACGTCCCAACAATGTTGAAATCAACTTCTCACAACCAATCTCCGCCACATCCATTTCAGATTTCGAAGAAATCACTCCCCCATCGTCTGGCGACAATTATTTTGATCTTAATTTGTTACGGACAGACCATTTGAATGCAGAAGAGAAAGAAAAGATCCTCCATCTTTGTCATCGATTTAAAGATATTTTTCATACAGAAAATTCTCCTTTAACCGTTACTACTTCTGTAAAACATGTTATTCGAACTAAAGATGAAACACCAATCTTCACCCGCTCTTATCGACACCCAAAATCAATGCTACCTGAAATTTCCGACCAAATCAATAAATTACTACAGAACAATGTCATCCGCCCTTCTATAAGTCCCTACTCAGCCCCTGTATGGATAGTTGCGAAAAAACTTGACGCAAGTGGTAAAAGAAAATTCCGTATGGTCATCGACTATAGACGTCTTAACGAAAACACAATCGAAGATAAATACCCTCTTCCCCGCATTGACGAAATTCTTGACAACCTAGGACGCTGTTCATACTTTACCACCCTTGATTTGGCACAGGGTTTCCACCAAATCGAAGTCCACCCAGATTCTATAGAAAAGACAGCTTTCACAGTTCCTAACGGTCATTTCGAGTACCTTAGAATGCCTTTCGGATTACGAAATGCACCAGCCACTTTCGAGAGAATGATGGATGAAATCCTAAGAGAATTCTTATACAAATCTTGTTTTGTCTATATGGACGACGTCATCATATTTTCCAAATCCCTCCAGGAACATTTAATTCATATTAAACAGATTTTCCAAAAATTCCGAGAAGTTAACCTCAAGATTCAGCCCGATAAATCCGAATTCTTGAGTAAGTCAGTAGCGTTTCTAGGCCACGTCATAACACCTGAAGGCATAAAACCAAATCCTTCAAAAATTTCAGCCATTGAAAACTTTCCTATACCCAAGACGGTGAAAGAAATCAAAAGCTTTCTTGGTCTGGTAGGATACTACCGACGTTTCATTCCGAACTTTTCCAAAATCACATACCCCATGACACGCTGCACTAGAAAAGGTACTAAAATCGATATCGAAGATCCCAGATATATTGAATCTTTCGAGAAATGTAAATCCGCTCTCAGTAACTCCCCTATTCTCCAATACCCTGATTTTTCCCTACCATTTACCCTCACTACAGACGCTTCAAACATAGCGATCGGTTCTGTCCTTACACAGAAAGGAAATCCGATAGCCTATTATTCTCGCACCCTAAATTCAGCAGAGAAAAATTATTCTACAATCGAAAAAGAACTTCTTGCCATACTCGATTCCTGCAAAGTATTCCGCCCCTATGTATATGGTGTAAAATTTAC